GGGTCTTTGCAGGTAATGATGCAGTTTTTCAGCCAGCATTTTCTGTCCACTTACCAGTATTTTCTGCATACAAAATAGCATTTCTATTTAGAAATAGTATCCTATTTCTTTAATCCTAAGATAAACTTTTCCCACCATATAAACATTTTAAAAATGGGCTGTGACTAGTTGGTGCTGATATTAGTGTGCATCTTACAATCAATGGCAGAATGGCAGAAAAATGCTGTTTTCTGCACAAAACAAGCACATGAATTTTTCACATTGTAAGTCCTTGACTGTTAACAATGATCAAAAACTGCCCTTTTTGAAAAATTTCTCATAATGAGAAATAAATTGCTAAAATTATATATTTCTTTCTTTGGGATGAACATTAACAAAGAATAGCAGAACTGAACATTAATACGTTCCTTATAGAACCAGACTCTCTGAAGCCTCCTGGAAGTTCAGTTGTGCTTTAGAACAAGGTATACATCAACATTGGGAGGTCCAGAGGGTGAAACTTGTGTTGTTTGCTTTTGACCAGAGGAGGATAGATTGGAGGTCATCTACTTTTTCTTTTTCTTTGCTTCTTTTTTTCTTGGCATTTTTTGTGTTTCTACTCTATATTCATTTTCTAGATTCACTTTTTAAGTTGTAATGAAACTTTCACTTTTTAAAAAATAAAGTGAACTTAAAAAGAAAAAAGAACAAGGTACACATTCTCTGCAAATCTTATTATTAAAGGGAAGTTACAATATTTTAAAAACTGGTTTTAGGGAAATCCTACAGGCCCACAGATATTGCATACCCCATGCAAGTAAAAAAGAAAGCAGCACTCAGTGCATATTGCCTGTGGTATCTTGCTTTGTTTCTGCTGCTAGAACTGAAGCTGACTGATTGTATGTGAAGGACTTAAAAGTTTTCAGTTCAATTCCATCATATGGAAACCTGGAATTTGTAGTTTGAGAAGCAGTTCTTAAACTTCCCAACCAGATAAATCAAGTGGATCACTGAACTACAAACCTCAGGATACCTTAGGATGCAGTTATTGCAATTTAAATGGAATCTCATGGTCCCCAAGATGCACGGAGAGAAGCATTTAAACACTTTCCTGACAGGTTTCTTTGATCCATGTTACTTGGAATACAAAAATAAATGCAAAACTAAAATTAAGGAGAGAAGAATGAACTACAACATGGTGAGCCATGGGCAAAACGGTGTATGTAGTCCCCTGATTCCTGGCCAGTGAACTAAACATTGTGGAACTTATTGCTCAAAACTATACAAGCGTGATCAGACTGATCTCTGGGCATAGCCTAGAAATTCATCACTTAATTAACAATATAAATATTTTAAACATTTTTATAAAACCACAATAAGAGTCTGTGTCATGTGACCCACCCAGGATTAATTCACACTTGGCCGAGTCATTGGCAATTGCCCTTCATTCTCTCGCCTTATAACTATGCAATCTGCATGAATTAATAGATTTCCTTTTGAACTCTGGCAACTGCGGTTACTTAATTATGAAATGTCTTTTGCACTCTGGACATTACAAGGACATTTGGATTGGTCATGACTAATGTCATCACTACCTACTTGACAGCCGGTTCGTGCAAGAAGATGCTTAGATTCTCCTGCTGCTGCTCTGCTAATCCTCTTTATTCATGAATTAATTTTATTGGAATAATGAAATATTCTCAGATTTGCATATCTTGGGAATTATTGCTGCTCTCAAGTGGCTGAAGTGAAACAGCTTTCCAAGCTCATGTTCTGCAATGTTCTTCAAATCAAGTTCTAATTGCTCACAAATGTATTGGAATATAATTCTTGACATGTATTGGTTTCTATTCCAACTCTGACATCCAGACAGATACTGAGAGGGAACGAGAGACTGTCAAGTCTCTGTAGTCATTTTCTTCTCACAGGATGGGCAATTAAGTTCTAACCATTGAGCAAACGTGCCACACAAAGAGTGGTTTGTGCACATTAATTTACCAACATTAATCATTCAGCATATATTATACATTGTAGTGGATGCACTTTCAAATCTCTTGACAATTCAGAAACACCATCCTTTCCATTGAAGGTGACAGGGGCTTACCTAAAATGTAAGAGATGACATTCTGCATTACACAAAGAAGTGCTTCTATCGATACAACAGACAATGCATTTTTTTAAAGTTAGGTGCTACACTGATTACTTCTGAAAGCTGGTTGTGTCGTGCAACAACCTTTGGTTATTATGATCAAAAGATGAGTATGTGATGTTAACTCTGTTTATAATATTTATTTATTTATTTATTTAGAGCATTTATATCACATCCTTCTCAACCCCCATAGGAGGACTCAGGACAGCTTACAACTGGCAGTCATTAAATGCCGTAAAGAAACAGTTAGAGTACAACAATTAACATAAACAGGTCAACAGCAATTTAAAAATACATTTAAAAAGCAATAGCAATACATTTAAAATATTGGCCCTTAAAATATTAGCACAACCTAGTCTGAGTCCGCAAATCAAAATCATGGTCCAGAGTTCCAGTCCAAGGTCTCTTCATTGATAATTCTCACGCGTCATTACAGTTGTTGCTCAGCCAAATGCCTGAATGGCTGGTCCCAAGGCCAAAACTTGAGTTTCTTCTTGAAGGAGAGGAGAAAAGGAATCACCCCGATTTCACTGGGGAGAGCATTCCACAGACAGGAGGGGGCACCGCTGAGAAGGCCCTTTCTCTTGTCCCTGCCAATCACACTTGCAAGAATAGCAGGATTGAGAGCAGGGCTTCCCCCGACAATCGAAAACTCTGAGGTGGGTCATAGAGGAAGATACATTTGGACAAGTAAACTGGGCCGGAACCATATAGGGCTTTATAGGTCAAGATCAGCAGCATAATAACAAATGTCTCCATTCAGCAGAAAGCAGAAAAGTTGCTTTTTTGTATTAGAATGCCTAGAATCTTCTCAGCCTCTATAAAGTAACAAAAACTTACATTAAGATAATTTACAAACTCTATCTTGAGGTAGGAAGACAAAGGACTGGAGAAACATTAAAAGCCTTCTGAGTCTTTATTGCTGTTGTTTCTAAACTTTGTTCAACAAAACCTTTTTACAACAGCTTTTCTTTCCCTAAAGGAATCATGTGCTGAAAAGGATTCCCAGAAATGCTCCAGGGCCTATACCCAGCTCACAGGTCAATAACAGGTCTTTTTTGTGTCTCATTATTGTGTCACAATGATTCCATACATTTCATTTACTCAAGGACACCCAGCAGACCAAGAACCAAACAAACACAGATATGCTGTGCATCAGGTCTGACCAAATATCAATGCCTATAAGACATGATTCTTGTGATTCACAAGACAAACCTAACTTTCATCCAAAATAACCACAACTAAATCCAAAGACTATCCAGAAAAGAGTTTGCATACATTTTCTTTCCAAAAATAGCTTCTTTTAAGATTCTGTAGAATTGCTGAGGATTCAGAGAAGGGAACTTGAGGGAGTGGAATTGAATGACTAACAGGTATATATTGTGAAGAATTTTCTCCCTAAGAATTTTTATTTCTGCTATGGAGGAGAAATTGTGATTCTGAGAAATTACTGTCTCCTGCACTTCTTTGCAGTTGTTCTGTAACAAGTATTTCTATATTCAGGTAGGAAAACATGAAATTCTGCTTATTTATAATTTTGGATTATTTTTCTTTCTCTTTCACAAATATTTGAAAACAATCACTCAGACATTTAACTGCAGTGAATTGCTCCATCAAATTGAATCCTTAGATTTGCACTTTAACTTCTGTGACTCGATGCTATGGAATCATCGGTGTCATGGTTTCACAAGTTCTTTAACTTTCTCTGCCAAAAGCTGCTCGTGCCTCTCCAAACTACAATTCCTCATATACAAAAGCCAGACCTCCCGTGAAGCTTACCCTGTTATCTGTTCCTCTGCCAAAAATCCAGACCCCATTTACACTGCCATATAAAATCCAGATTATCTGCTTTGAACTGGATTATATGACAGTGTAGACTTATATAATCTAGTTGAAAGCAGATAATGTGGATTATGTGCTTTGATAATCTGGATTATATGGCAGTATAGAAGGGCCACTAGACGAATACAGAACATTCCTAAGAATTCAACCATAGCATTTTTAAAAAAATCATTATTTCAAGATTAGTCAACTGAGTGCTTTTATTGTGAAACCTTTATTTTGCTCCCTTTGAAGAATGTGATCTGGTGCCATTGCAAGTAACTGCTCTCTTAAGTGAAAACAGTAGCTTCAGATAACTTTGAACAGATTTGTGGAAATTGAGTGGGATGCACAACCTTTGTCAGATTCTCTCTAAATATATCATCATTTAACTATTATCTATTATCTATAATCTATCTGTCTATCCATCTGCTTTGTCTATCCATTTGCTATCTATCATCTATCTATCATCTATCTATCTCTATTTCTATCTATCTCTATTTCTATCTATCTCTATTTCTATATATCAGTCATCTGACTATATCTATAATATTTGTGGATGTCATCTAGATCCACCAGACAAAAAAACGACACCTTGAAATATTTCAAGACTCAATGGCCATGTAATACTGTCTTAGCCACCCATCAGAAGCTCAGAAAAAGTGGAGCCAACCTAAGTTCCATTGGCAGGTGCTGCTACAGAGCAACCCAACACATCAATATAGCTTCCCTGTGCTGATGGTCTAGGAATAGAAATGATTCACATGATTTAGAATTTTCTATTTCACATTTTTTTTTGCTTTGGTAATTAGCAGAATCATAGAGCTGCCTTGAAAGTCAGAGATGCAGCATTTCTAACTGGAAAGGCATTTATCTGGACCTGAACATTTCAATAAAGATGTCCATGTTATATAGCAAACATATTCTGTATAACAAATATACCAAATATTTCTACACAACTCCTATAAATAAGTGAGGCCATAGTGGGAAAAGCAAACAAAATACTTCTCTATCTAAAAATTTCATTCTTTGATCAGGAAATCAGCTGCCCTTCCCATCAAGTGGTGCACTCTTCCCTTGCTCACTTCTAACATCCTTGCAACAACCCTCACACCATGTTCTTGCACTACATCTTTGATGAATCACCACATAAACTAAAGACACACTTTGCCTTTTTGTAGAGTCTGTGGCATAGGAGCTGTTAAAGTTCTAAAGGCCCATCGCTAAAGTTACCTTGGGCAGGAATGAACAAGCTAAACTTTTTAATTTTATATGACATGAAATGTCACAGTTATGAATAAATGACAAAATAAAACAAAATCAAGGTCTCTGTGCTTTTAGTCTCCACACTTTCCACGGCACTGGACCAAAACAGGCCAGAGACTTGCAGTTTTAAAAACTTCCGCTGAGAATTGCAGTATATGGGCACAAGTAGCCATAATCAAGGAAAATGTCTGTTAATAGCAATTGCAAGTATTTGATTAGTAAACATTCAAAATAAGCAAAATATCTTTAGAAAAGAAAGACCTTATCTCACATGTACCATCTAGCAATCAAAATACACTACTTGGCTATATAGGCAGTCCCCACCTTACAAACATCCGACTTGCAAATGGCTCACAGTTAAGAACGGAGCTGAGACAACAGGAGGTGAGAAAAATCTACCTCTAGGAAGAGAAATTTACTCCTGAAAGAGTTATCATGGGGAAAAGGGGTCTCCAATGAAGCTTTATCACAAATCTTTGTTTCCACCTCAGGCCAATTCTTTCAAAATCCGGCGATCACAGGGACAGAAAGTAAGGTGAAGTCTTCTGAACAGGGGCACAGACAGCAAAATAAACACCACAGGGATGCTAACCCTTCCCTAATCTCTCCCTCTCCCTCTCCCTCTCTCTCTCTATTTCGACTTAAGAACAAATCTACAGAACCTATCTTGGGTTGTTGCAAGTTTTTCGGGCTGTATGGCTATGTTCCAGAAGCATTCTCTCCTGATGAAAACTAGAAAAATGGGGTTTATATATCTTTCTCCTATCCTGGACATTCCACAGATATATAAACCCCATTTTCCTAGTTTCCAACAGACCTCACAACCTCTGAGGATGCCTATAATAGATACAGGTGAAATGTCAGGAAAGAATGCTTCTGGAAGATGACCATACATTCCAAAAAACTTACAACAACCCAGTAATTCCAGCCATGAAAGTCTTTGACAACTTGGGGACTGCTTGTATATTTTCTTTAAGACAACAGATTTCCAGACAGGCAGAGAATTAAGAGGAAGTGGGGGCTGGATGTATATTAAAACTTCATTTATAAAAGAAGCTTCACTGCCAGAAATGTTATTAATTATGGTAAAATTGTATTCATTGATCAACTCAAAAATACCATAATTACATATAAATGGTACTTTCTGCTTCTTGGTGTTCTGGTCAATAGAACTGGAATATCTATAAAAGATGCAATTTGAAACTTTTGTGAATTTTGTTCTTGTCAATGGACAAATTTGTGAACTACTGTGTCTAGAGGACAGTGACTAAAATGATCAAGGGTCTGGAGAACAAGACCTGTTAGGAATGGCTTAAAAAGCTGAGCATGTTTAGCCTGAAGAAGAGAAGGCTGAGAGGAGACATGATGGCCATGTATAAATATGTGAAGGGAAGTCAAAGGGAGGAGGGAGCAAGCTTGTTTTCTACTGCCCTGGAGTCTAGAACACAGAACAATGGCTTCAAACTACAGGAAAAGAGATTCCACCTGAACACGAGGAACAACTTCCTAACTGTGAGAGCTGTTCAGCACTGGAACTCTCTGCCCCTGAGTGCAGTGGAGGCTCCTTTGTTGGAGGATTTTAAACAGAGACTGGATGGCCATCTGTTGGGGGTGCTTTGAATGCAATTTTCCTCCTTCTTGGCAGCGGGTTGGACTGGATGGCCCATGAGGTCTCTTCCAGCTCTATGATTCTATGATTCTACTTCAAAAGCCTCACAACGATGTGTGTGATTGAACTGGACATTCTTAGAAGAGCTAACTAAGTCAGGACTGTCTGGAAAAATCACTGCCTCTCAGAAATAGCTTAGCATCGCTACTTTTTAAAATACCTAAACAAAGACTTATTATTCTTAGTTCAGAGATGCACTCACTAGTGTTTACAGCCTAAGCCAGAGACAGTCATCCCAAGCCTTTGGATTTGCTGATCTTTACATTGGATTCTGATAAACGGATGCTTTTACTAGGCAGCAGAAAACTATTGTTACAAACATCAGCACAGACAGTGTGTAATTCTAAAAAGATTGGAATTCAACAACAGTTGATCGTTTTCCATACTTTAAATACTTAATAAATAAATTAAATGCCTTTTTAAACAAAAGTGAGACAAGCAAAAGAGATGTTGTGTACAACGGGGTTAAAATGTTAAAATCAATCTGACCAAACCATGGCCCTCTTTAACAGTAAAGTGAAATCAATCATAAATTCTCACAAACAGTATATGCAAAATGAAGTATGCCTCTCAGCCAAGTGTGCAGCAGCAATTTCTGAAACAGGAGTTGCCCTTTTTGAAAGCTGTTATTTCCAGCTTTTAAAAACTGGAGAGGTTATTTGATATTCATAATAATCTGTCATATTCACTTTACAGGTGACACTGAAGCAACATGATTATATTACATGACAGATTAGGCCCCAAAAATGGTTAATTTAATCTTAGCTATTTGGAATAGAGTCTGCTTTATCAGTGAAGAAGATGATAAAAGGAAAGAAAGTGATTTTGTCTAATGGTTTTTCATTTGGGATACCAGGAGCCCCCGGAGGCGCAATGGGTTAAACCCTTATGCCAGCAGGACTGAAGACTGACAGGTCACATGTTCGAATCTGGGGAGAGCATGGGTGAGCTCTCTCTGTCAGCTCCAGCTCCCCATGCAGGGACATGAGAGAAGCCTCTCACAAGGGTGGTAAAACATCAAAACATCTGGGCATCCCCTGGGCAATGTCCTTGCAGACAGCCAATTCTCTCACACCAGAAGCGACTTGCAGCTTCTCAAGTTGCTCCTGACATGAAAAGAAAATAGGGATACCATTTTCTTTCTTATATATAACAAATTAACTACTGTTTTTCATGTTCTAAAGTACTTGTCTATTTTTAAAGACTAAGTTATTCTTTTCAAATATTTTTCATTGTCATAAAATAACAACTATCACCTTATTATGGCTTTTTGTCATCATAAAC